TATACTATATGAGAGTTATATATTTAATTTAAAAAGTTATGTCACTGTAATGGAAGATTAACTCTACAAAATAGATTAGGCATGCAATCAGATCTTGTCTTTAAGAAAGTCTGAAAAGTAGTTTTCTGTATTTGCAGAAATAGTGGTTAGTAATAGTGCCAAATCTAAGTATTTATCTTGGTCAATATAAATATATTAAAATAGGCAGCCTTTTATAGTATAAAATTATTTTGCAGCTTTATCTTGTTTCAGTGTAATGGAGTCCACCAATTTTTAGAGCATAGGATTTCATATGCCTGTCAAGGAAAAGGGAATATATAAGTACAAAATAGGCTGGTGATGGTGATCAACAAGAAATTACTTTGGAGTGGGTAGTTTGAAATAGAAAGAACCTTCTTTTTATGTTTAATTGTTAACAACTATAAAATGTATAAGCAAATTGGATTTTGAACTGCTGGAATTCATTGCAGAGTAGGTAAATATGATAGATAAAAGTGGTAAGAATAAAGTAAGAAAAGAGAACATGGATGAGTTAGAAGAACCAGCTTAATCTCTATTATATCTGATATAAATCTTTTTTGGGGCTGCGTAGGAACACATCTCTAGGGTGGTAAGTTATAAAAAGAAACTGTCTATAAAACTACTGTAAGCTCATATGTAACAGTTTGTTATATAAAAGTGGGAAAATAAATTATAGACAAATTTCCAAGCAATAAATATGATTGAATAACATTTGATTAAAAATATTCACAATAAAAATGGCATCCATATATTTTACAGATTATAGAACTAAATTTTTTTGTGAAAGGTCTGCAATAAAGTAATAAATAGAAATAAATGTACACCAGAAATTTTATATTACACTCTGAAAAATAATTTTTCTTCTTCTAGACTATGTAATAATGTTTTTTGCAATGTGCTTTATTTTTATGGATGAAAGAGAATTAAAGTCAAGTGCATTTGGGAAATAGCTTTCAGCCTGATGCGTTAAAGCAGTCAGAGGTCAAATGTAACCACAAGTCAAATCTTGAAGAGGCTTTAGTACCTAACACAGGAGGTGGTTTGCACTAACCTTTTTACTTTGGACAGACACTGATTAAAAGCACTCAGACCAGTCACTGCATTCCAGCTAAGGGAGTGATAATGGACCACATTAAAACCTCTGCAGGTGTCACAGAAAGTGAATATGACTTTACAAACCAACAGAACTTAGCAATTATAATTACTAACAAATTTGTAAGAGACAGTATGAAGGGGCAGAGTATTAGACCTGGGCAGGAACTGCATGTGGATGATGAATAACGAGATATGCAGGGAGCAGTGGAAATAGGTCTCTACTTTTATTCAGTGTTTGATGAATGGTATTTCATTTCCTTGCCCTCCATTTGAAACAAGGGCTGTAGCTTAAGGGTTTACAGATTTCTGTGAAAACAGGTACTCCACTCAAACTCACTGTGGCTTTAAAACTGGTCTTCATTCATTAGTGACAAATCCTTAGGAGAAACTATCAATTTTACACCTTGAGAAGCCAAGGTGTTGAACTCTTTTCATATTCTGAAGTCCTGATACTAGACACAGAATATGAATTCATGAGTATTCTAGAAAAAAAATTTAATTTCTAGGCAGTAGATCAATTTAAAAATAGTTTCTTTCAGCTCTTAACTCCTACTGATGCCGCCTTTGTGCACAAACCTGTATGTTTATTCATGCCCACTGCCCTGTCTCTTAACAGGTCTGGAGACCATTACTCTCACCTCCTTCCAGTCCCTCCTTGAGAATTTGTTCTTCCATGATGTCTGTGTGACACTAAATAACTGATGAAGGCTTGACTTAGGCTGCTGAACAGCAGTGATGTGTATTCATTTGAAAAGACATACAAAAATAAGGTTAACATCTAACATATACACATATAAATGTTAAAATACATCCAATTCCTTCCATATACTTAAGTTCCTTAGAAAAATATAAAGCCAGAGCTGACAAGACCTATGTCTCACTTTATCTCTTAACTATTTTATCTTCCTCCCTTTCCTTCTGTCTCACTGGTTTTATTATCTATCTTTTTAGCTCATTTGAAAATTTTACAGGTTGTTTTGTACCACACATACATAAAAAGACCCTGGACCTCACTGAGGCCTCTACCATTCCTCAGATTCAAAGCTCCTGAAACCAGATACAGAAATATGAATTTCTTAGTATCCTAATGCAAACAATAATATTAAACTTCCTATTGGCCAAACTTTGCAAAGATATTTCATCACAATAACCTTTGATATGTCTTCCAGTTGGAGTATTTTTAAAGCTTCTTACTGAAATAATTCTGTTAAAGTGCTT